ATTGTTGATTCATTTTATGCTTGCAGAATTACCAGATCAATTTATGGCAGTTACGTTGAATTAACAACTAACCAATAGGCAGAAAAGGAAAATAAACAGCAGAGGAAACCGGGGAACCAGCAAGTGCTCACTCATTCAGTAAGCTCATTTTCCGCGCATTCGTTTAAACAGCCTGCTGATAGCTTCCCTGCTAGCATTGCTGTTTGCTTGTTCGTTCATCTGTTTCTTCTAAGGTTTGTTTGTTTTTGCTACTTTTTGTCTAGGGGGTTGCGTCTCTCCCGTGATGCTGTGTCACTTTCTGCCTCTGTGCTGAGCTGATTTACTTTCCATATAGTTCAGCACATCTTTGTCTTCCGTGGTTGAGGTTGAATGCCACCACATGCTGCCCCCAGTTATGGTTCATCCGGCGCCCTTGAACAGACAAGGCAGAAACGCCTTCTCCGTGCAAATACTCAAATACTGGCCTACGTGAGGCTAATCTAAATTCAGAAGAAGCGTCTCCTCCCGCTTCTCTCTATTTTTATTGATAGCTCACGTGGAATTAAGGACAGCGCTTGCATTTGTCAGAGTGTGAGCCGTATATTATACATATGTTCTAGGCGCATGCGGTTTTCGTAAGGGTTTCTCTGAGTGAGGCAGTTTAAGGGTTTGGCTGCTTTCTCCATCGGCCCCCTTTCTGTTCAGTTGAAATGGATTATGTAATTAAATTAAATAAAATTAAATTCAGCTAAATGAAATGGAATCAGTATCTTGAGGATTAAATCAAATGAAATAAAATTCAACTTCTTTCCCTGTGTGCATCACCCCTCCAGTTTTATTTCTCTCTTCGTCTCCTGATTTACACGTCAACAAATTGCCACTATCTAATTAAACTGGCTTCCCCCTTCAATAACCATACTTTTTACAACATTGAAATAGACGTTTTAGCCTCTCATCCGTCATAAACCCAACAACATTTCGCGTTCAGTTGCTTCACTCAGTGCAAACCTTCACCGAGCCGCTTCATTGCCAGAGAAAACGAAGATCGCTTTAAGTTATGGGTACATGGCGTACCTGTCGTTTACGACTTCCACTAGTCCCCACCCACACAAACGCGGCAGAAACAGAAAGCGGCAGAAAGGGGCATGCAGACAGAGCAAGACGAAGAGAGACACAGTGGCAAATACAGAAAGAGGGGTAGTGAAAAAAAGGTGACAGGGAGAGAGAGAGGGGCAGAAGATACCGCGATGGAAAGGTCAGGACAGAGACAAGAGACACAGCAAGAGAGACAGCCAGAGCATGACTACATTTTGTTTCTCTTTTATTTGATGAGCAACCTTCGTTTGGCTCTGTGTGTCGTAGCGATTTTAAATTTGCATTTCTCCTGAACACAGGCTTTGTGTAGAATGCTTTGTTTAAAGTTGGTATGCTATTTTTCCTCTTGCTTTCAAGCTGGATATTGAGGGCCCGGAAACGAATGCATAACAGTTGTCTACCTTTCTGGAGCATGCACCGAAGGGAGCTCGGTTGTGCTTGTAGGCACAACCAAGCTCCCTTCGGTGTGCATGCTCCTCTCTGTTGGGGCTGCAGAAAACGGTGCTGCTCCAACTCATGACAGAACCCGATCTGGTTCCGCATCAACATTCCCACGACACCTCAGGACCGGAGAGGAGTTTATTAGCAGTTTCCTAGAGGGTCTTTACCATTTTTATCATGTAATTGTGTTTTTATTGCTGCTCCCAACTATCTCAGTATTGATAGAGGACCCTCGCTCTGTTTTGTTGGTTTTGCAGAAATTCAACAGTTGGAGAACCGTGTATCATGCCAGTTACTGACCGGCGTGGGCCATATATACATATATATATATATATATATATATTCGTGTCTTCAGTTTTTTTTCTTTTCTCTTCATTGCATTTTTCTTCTCCTCTGAATCGCTTGCTCAAGCCCCACACCCCTTCATGTTCAGCCCTTGCAGAGGAGCAACGAAAACAACTCCATGCACTCATCCGCCCCAGCTACTCGCTTGAACCCCCAGCAGTAAAGTCCACTGTACAATCGAAAGCAACGAGGTTAAGCCCTATGCCCGTAAGCCTAAGCATTAGGGAAGTCAACACAGAGGAGTGAAGCAGACGGCAAACTGACTTCTGTCTTCGAGATCGGCGCTTCTGAAGTCACCCAGCTGGGAGCAGAGGGAATATGGAATTAAAAAATGCTGTCATACGCACTAAACCAATAAATTAAGGGGAAAACAAGGGAAAGTAAATTGCCTGTGCGCTGTATCGTTTTGCATGGGCCGCACTGACGTCCCTCGGGCGGAGGGCGGTTTCTCGAGGACCCTTCCGAGGCCTTCTGTTGTTATTCGTGCTTTTTTTGGTTGAAATTAACCCAATTGTTCTCACGTTTTAAAGGAATCTCCAGAAAAACAGGAAAAAGCCGGGGATGCGTCGCAGAAAATCTTTCCCGTGCAAAGTGCAGCGCGCAGCGCTACAATGTGCCGCGGAAATAGCCGAAGGAGGTCCAACAGTTGAGGCTAACTCCAATGAAATGTTAGAAATAAACCATACCAAGGAACTAAGCTCAAAGGTAGATTGGGCCTAGCCCGCATTGCCGCTCGGCCCAGAGCTTTGAGCAGTCGCCGCCAGCGACCCCAAGAGGGGGATCCGTTATCTTGGGAGGGCGAAAAAACAGGGAAAGGGAGTTTTACAGCCTCTTACTGGGTATTTCTGTATCTTCGGCATTATTGAATGGAACGCGCGTAGATAGTCGGCATGGGAATGTACATACAATCATGGCTGGGCTCTGCTCACCGTGCGTAGCACAATGAGCAGAGTCCAGCCATGATCGTCAGGTCACCAATGCAGTTGGGAGCCACAGGAGGCTGAGAAACCCGCACAAATTGAAGCCTTTAAGAGAGATTCAGCTTATTTATTAACATTAATAATATACTTATGTGCGTGATTACGTGGTATCCAAAAGCGTTCATTATTGGACGTTCATTATTGGAAATGAATTATAACTCAACAGAACGAAGAAAACCGCTAGTGGAACTTAGTCTGCGCAGATAGGCAGGCAGCTGGTGCGTGTTCGGCCCCCCCCACTGATTGTTTCCCTTGTCATAGAGAGCAATTAAGGTAATAGTTGCTGGCATTTTTGTTGAGACCCTCCATGCTTGCGTACTTTGACCCTAAACCGCGCGCTTTCCTCACCCGCCTTGCCTCCAAAACTGAAATTTGCAGCAGCCTGTAGAGGTCAGCCACAAGACGATCGCTTCGTCGCGTTCAGTCTATTGAACATAAACTAAACCCGCTCATTAGTTCATATTCTACTTCTACGAGTTTGTCCTTTTTCTTGTCTTTAAAGCAATTAAATATATATATATATATATATTTGGAGACCTGCCTTTGGCCTTTGTCTGGACCGGAACCCCGAGACCTTGGCGCCGCTAGAAGATGAATCACCTCATCACCCGTGCCGCTCACTCATTCATGGAAGCTTCTTCTTACAACCCCCCTCTTCAACAAGCCAAAACAAGTGAGTGGCGCCCTGTATGCCACCCCCCTACTGCAGAGGCGTCCGTCTCCACAAGCAGTGGGACCTCCACTTCCTTTGGCTCCTTTTCCGCATCCATTGCGGCGTTCACGCCCCCCTTTGAAGAAACCGAAATCAACACTTTCACCAACAGTACCAGCAACACCAGCGCCTACAACACAGGTAGCAGCGGCAGCAGCTGCTGGAACGGGAGCAGCCACAGCACTGGCAACACGCCCCATGCGTTGAAACACCACTATGTAGGCATCTTGCATGGTGCTGCGCCTGCCGTCTCTCTAACATCTTTGGGCATTCCTTCTACCGCTGTTTCAGTTACAGACACATCACCCGCTTGGGCTCAGCATCAGTTCACCACCACCACCAGCAGTAGCAGCAGCGGCGGCGGCAGCGGGGTATCGGGTTGCTGCACGCCTCTTTACTGCAGCCTCACACCAACTCCTACCCCAGCACCTCTTCACTCTGGCCATTCCTTTCTTGTGAAGGAGGCGACCAGCTATCCTCAGCAATCGGGTACATTTGGAGGGGGCGGCAAACCGAAGAACAACAAAACCGCAGGAGCTGACGTTGATGCAGCCGCCGCCGCTGCTCCAGTTGCAACTGATGCACCTACCACTGCCTCAGGTGCATCACCAACATCAAGAGCAGCTGAGAACGACTCTCGTTGTGTCGTCTCTGCATGCGCGGGCAGCATCAGACGTCATTCTTCCCTGCTGTTGAATGAACAGCCGTTGTCTCTAACATCGCTGCCGCAGGAGGTGCAGGCGGCACTTCAGCAAGAGCGAGGGACCCCAGGTAGCAGCTCCTCTGTCCCCGACTGGTTTGACGTTCAGACTGGCTGTATAAAGAAAGAACTTCTGCCGCAGCTGCCCTCCTTTCGCTCGACGCTTAACACCTCCGTCGCGAAACTGTCTGCTGCCTCCCGCATACATCACAGAGTCCGGTGGCCAGGGGAATCTGCCAAGGCAACTGCGGCAAATGTGCATCACTTGCACCCCCGAAGGGAAGCAGCACCAGTACCAGCAACTGGGGGCACGTTCCCGGCCTCCGGCGCACCTTCTTCACCACCACCGGCCGCTGGGGGCCCTAATGCAATAATGCGCCGGAAATCTGATTCGTCTGCTATCTCCCTTCATTCTCGAGTTTCCCCGCACATGCCTTTGAGGAGCAGCAGCCATACCTTTGCCCCGGAGTCCGCTTCTGCCAATTCACCTATTGCAGCGTTTGCAGTACCTACTGCAGGTGCACCAGCAGGTGCTGCGACACAGCCGCCGCGCAGCCGCCGAGTTCGTTTTGCAACTGTCCCCTCAGCAAGGGAGTACAGAGAACTGTCGCCTTTCGAAGGGGCAGCAGGGGCTTCACCTTCGCCTCCTGTTGCGTCGCTGAGGGCCGATTTGCCTCATCCTTGCTCGACCCTTACCGCGTATTGCCAAGAAGCAGCAGAAACAACAGTACCAGCAGCAGAACAACAGCACACAGCAATAGCGGGAAATCCCACAACTGGTGCTGCTGGTGTTTACAGCAGGTCTTCCAGCCTACTGAACAAAATGACGGAGATGATGCAGCGCCTGCTCAACTACCGGCCGCTGCAGCAACACCTCCAATCCAGGGTGCGACGAAACAAACAAACACACCTCGTGATATTCTGCTTTACTTGCTGCAGAGCGCCATGCGTCACTGAAGTCCTCTGCAGCTAAAGCGATCGGTTATGCCGAGAGTGTTTACACCTTTTGCATACGCATAAACTGTCTGCGTTGTTGTTATTGCTGTGATGTTGCGCAGGAGAGTTTAGTAGAGAGTTTACGACTACTGCAGGCCTTTCGTGCGGAGTGTGTTGGCCGGCCTCCTTCTTTAAGCTATTTTGGTGACTGCTTGGAACGATGTGAACAGCTGGTTGAAACAAAGCTGCCCCAAGAGGAAGAGGGACCCCTCGAAGAACTCGTACAGACAGCTGCTGTCCCCCTCTTCTCCAGAGAAGCCTTGCTCAAGCTGCATCGGCTGAGGCTGCAGATGCAACACCCGCCAGAAGTGGAACTCTTTCTAACGCCTCTTGAAACCTTACAGGCAAAACCAAACACAAAGACATTGCAATAACACGTCAAACTATAAACTCTCAACCCTTGCGCAACACAAAGAAACAAAAATGCTGCATCCAGCAGAAGCGTTCCATTACCACTCCTCGAAAAACTTCGCGAGCAAAACAGACACAAATACACTACAAATGCACCGCACCTCAAGTGTTAACCAATGCGTAACACAAAGAAGTAGCTAATGCTACAGTCAACTGAGTCTAAAATGCGTTGACACATCGCTATGGCCAAGCGGTAGACCTACGCCGAAAACCTGACCCCGAGCCTTTCCTCCGCAGATATGGCTATGCCTGATGTGATGTTCATTTGCATTGGCTTTGTAATTCTCCGTCGCTTTTTGGCTTGGCATCTTCATTTGTTTTCTTCTACTTTTGCTGCATTTGCTTTTTCTGTTCTGTGCACTGCATCGTGTGTTTGTACTCTGTTACAGTAGTTGCCGTTGACTTCGTTCTTGTTGAGTAGCAGCGTACATCTTATTGCCTATGTTCTTGTTTGTTTTGCCCTGTACAGCGCCTGCGAGTTTGTGACAGACGGAGGGCCACTTCGGGGCTTTGCCTGCATGCTGCTACGGCTGACGAGGCATTAATAGACGGCGAGACGCATATACACCCTAACGTCTTTCTCTTGTGAGGCCTTTCGTCTCCGTTACCCCGAAACGTGCATTGGGGAAACAGCTTGAGGATTCGTTTTGTACACGTTGCATATATAGTTGCGCGGAGGCAGTCGTATCAGTGCACGTTAATGCTCATGTGTGCCTAGAGCTGGAATGCATGCATACAGCTTGGATGCTTGCATGGACCATGAGCAAGTATGCTCGTGTCTTGAATACCTGCGCTGCAGCAGCTGCCTTCTTGGGAAACTTTCAACAAGGGATGGGATGGGGAATGATGAGGAAGGGTGTCATTCGTGGGATACTTGCTTTGTCCTGTGGTGTTCTGTGCATTTGACAGAGTTTAGCAAGATAATGCGCGTGAGGATAAACTAGTGCTGCTGATTTTGTTCCCTTGTACTCAGACAAGAGTTCGCCTGCGGCGTCGTCTCCACCAGGCGTTGGCAGTTTAGCCGAACTCCGCGTGCGTTTGCAGCATCTGTACTGCAGCATCTGCAGCAGCAGCTACAGCAGCAGCTGAAGCACCAACTACAGCAACAGGAACAGCAGAATGCACCGCAAGGCTCACCTTGTTCGTCTCAGATTAGCGAAGCATCGCCTGCGGACAAAACGCATTCTTCAGACTCCCCAAGACAACTTCTCTTTAGTTTAACAAGTCTCATTGAGGCCGCTCTCCAGCAGACAACAGAAAATGGCTGCTGCAGCCTTGGGGTTCTCTCAATGGATCCATCAGGTTGGGGTTCTCTCAATGGATCCATCAGGTTGGCGAGACATGCAGGCAGCTAATTCTTTGCCGTTTGACAGTCTCGTACAGCAAATAACTGCAGAAGACTCAAGGATAATCCACTATTCAAGCAAACCCTAAAGGGCTGGGTGGATTATGTGGACGTAGCTGTGTGTATTTCTATATATATATGTGCTTGCATTGTCTGTACTAAGCAACACAACCATGCCCACGCATGCATGAGGTTGGACAAAACATCACACAAACTGTTACTTATCTTCGGGCCGATCAATTTATATAACACGCATATGCGCATGCCGCAGTCATTATGAAATCGCATTTTAAGATCGCATACTCAATACCGAAAGGCGGCACGGTCCACGGCGTACGCATCTGTACATTTACCACAGACATGCAGCTGAATACGTGCGCAAACGCATATATATATATGCCACAGTTTTGCGTGTTTTTGTTTGAAGGAGAAAAGTTGCGATTCGTAACGAGTGGCTTTATGCGCTTGTTGGTAATGCGGCGTTCTCCGGCCTCTGGGATTCTCTGTCGCATTGCTGAGGCGCCGATGCGTAATGCAGCCATAGCAGCAGAATCGCAGTTGTTCAGGTGGCCTGGCGTTAAGGAGTTGCTGAATAGCTTCAACACCAACAATGCTGTTTGTCGCATTGCTGAGGCGCCGATGCGTAATGCAGCCATAGCAGCAGAATCGCAGTTGTTCAGGTGGCCTGGCGTTAAGGAGTTGCTGAATAGCTTCAACACCAACAATGCTGTTCTTGATTCCTCTCCCTGGAAGCGGGAACAAGAAAAGAGACAAAAAAAGAAGAAAGCTGGCGTTGACCTGGGGGCACGCAGGTGAGAGCGGCATTTTCCTGTCTATTCTCTGAAGTTTTCTGGTTTATGAATGGAGGTGTAGACTCAAGAAGGGCACATCCGAAGACATATGCCCTTCTGCAAAAGAAAAATAGAATAGTAGTGCAAACTGACAAAAATATAAATAAACCAGCATCGGCTCGTTTTTCTGTGTTTGCGCTGTGCCGTCTTGTTATTCGTCGTACGCTGTCCTGTCGGTTTGAGACTGTCTGCTTGCTGATAATTTATTTTAGGCCTTTGGTGTTGTTGGTGGTATTTGTCCAATGCACAGACAAGGCTTAATGCGCATCGTGGAGTGGGGAGACAACGGGAACCCGTGGAATTGTAGAGGCCTTGTAGAACAAGAAGTGTTTGTTCAGGAAGGCGACTTCTTTGTTATTGCAGATGAAAGTAAGTACCTTTTGAGTTCGACCCTGCGCAGAATACATTGTGCCTTAGTAATTGCCGTCACTGCATGCCAACGGCCTTTCTATGCACTCGCTATGATCCCTTATAGGACAATGAAATCTTCCTTTCATTACCACAACCATGCAGTTTTCTTGCGCGGGAAGACACATATTTTGAACAGCTCATCGCAAAAATCTCAATACTGCAGCTACGTCTGTTAAGCAGAAGAGCAAAAATGCTTCGTATTTTTTAGTTTGTTTGCTTGAGTTGCTTGTCGGCTCTGCTTTCTGGCTGGTGGTATTGGTCCACGTTTCCTATTTTGAGCTGTGTACTATAGTGTACTTCTTTCCACAGTTTGTTTTTGCCACTCAGTTT